GGGGGGGGTCGTGAGGAGAAAGGAGAGGGTAAAACATGTGAGGCCTGTGCCCGCCGTGCCCCTCTGCCCCGTCTTTGCATATGGGTCAGTCTCCGTACAGTCACACGCACTCCTTGAGCGCGAAGAGCTGTGGCGTGTGGAACGGGGTGGGGCAGAGCCGGCAACAAATTGATCACCACTTTGTAAACACAGACAGCCTCGGGGCCACCGTCGTGCGTCGGCAGAGGAGGATGCAGAGTGGGGGATGGAGGGAGGGAGTGAGGTGGGGAGATATGTATATATTGCTCCTTCTTTCGTGGCCGACGACACCGAGGGGTGGTAGGTATGCGGTATGTGAACATCTGTGGGTGAGTCAGTCAAGTTTCTGACCCTGGCCGTCCTGCAGCCCCATTTCGCCGTGCACGCGGCGCTGCTCCCCCCCCCCCTTACCCCCCTGGCCTGGCACGGCGGCCTGCCAGCCACAACCCTCCCCGGCCGCCAGCGAGCGTCCTCGTCCTCCTCTCCGAGGGCGCTGTACCCTCAAGGCGCCACAAGGTGTAGGTCAGTGACAGAAAACTGGGGCACAAACGTCGGATTGAAGAAAACTGTGTCCACCACCAGCCAGCTGAGCTGCGCAGTCCCGCAACACTGCAGCGTCCCACCCTGAGCCACCCGGTGCGCCTCTGGTATAAGCGCGTTATCACAAGGAGTATAAGTTGGTACGCCATAGGCCGGGATGTGTGTACGAGTTAGCACGGCTCGCTGTACAACTTTACTACGCACCAAAGCCGCGATCCAAATAGGCACAGGTCGGTCGCTGCAGGGTTCAAGGATTGGCTTCCATTTTTAACACCAACTCACGGGGGGAGAGGGGGGGGGGGGCAGCAGCAGGCGCAGGCGCCCCCTCCCCTCCCACATGAAACTCGACATGCTCTCTCTTTCTCGCATACCCGGACCAAGCCCAAGCTGTGCTGCATGCAAACCACCAGCCGACCAATTCAGAAGATCGCCTCTCCTATCCTATGAGGTCCCGTCCCTGTCGCACACGACCTCGTCCACTTCAACCTCGAGTACGCCCCTGACGACTTACGCAGGAAGAGCACTCTGGGCAGCGGCCGGCACAAGGGTTGTGTTTTACGATTAGCTTCCTACTCGAGTGCGAGCGCGAGAGGGGGGCCTATTTCGATTTATTAGGAGAGGGGGTGGTTGGGTGGGAGGGGGGAGGGGGCCTTGGCGAGCCCAGCGGGGTCCCACGCCGCCGCCGCTGCAGGGGCCGACGCGGTTGGGGTTGGTCAGTGCCCAGCGCGCCACCGCCACGCCACGCCACGCCACGCCGCGCCGTCAATGCCAAACCGTCACAGAGACGTAGACGTGTTTGAGGACAAAGCAGAGCGCGCGGGTACTTGAACCCAGCAGTGCGGGGCAGCCTCCACGAGCCTGTCCAGAGCGGACCGTGTGCGCAGCTTGGTCTGGCCTGGGGCTCAACAACGAGTCCTATCCTCATTTGGCTCGCTGGAGGTGGGGCCCGGCCCGGGCCGGGGGGTGAGCGCACTCACACTACCGACAGCTCGACACGCGCTCCACCGCGGGGACCCGGGGGGCCCGGGGGGCCCGACCCGCCAGCCCGACGAGGCGGTGGTGGAGGCGCGGATAGGCCGGGACCAAAACTTTCCATGAGGAGGCCACATGGCGGCACGACCGCCGTGGAGGCCATTACCACGCAGAGTCCTTCCTTATCACCACCACCGCCCCTGTTATCACGGCGGCTGGTTATCACTCCACCGGATACCTATCGCGCCACGCACTAAGCAAACCCACACCTCCTGCTGGTGACGCGCGCGCGCGCCCGCCTCCTTGATATTTCGTCACAGGATTAACAACTATTTGCCTCCCTCGGCGGCATTGCGCGCGCCGCGCGCTACGCGTCGTGTGCCCTCTATCTGCAGTGGACGGCGACGACGGCATGTGCGTATTGCACAAGGCACATACACGCGCCACGAAGTACGCGGCACGACGAAGCCACAACGACAAAGGTTAGGTTCACTTGAAGTAACACAAAACAACAAAATTAAAACAACTAGTTTTTGATTTGACTCTAAAGTTGCGATACCAACTTTAAACTTTCGGTGGCATTGAAATGGGTATAATTTTCAGCAGACTTGCTTTCCTTGAGGGGAATCTTCAGCAAATGGTTAGAAAAGTTTTCGACCGTAAAAGATTGGAAAGTTAATAACCGATAAATTAAAACTATGCAATATCTGGTATGAAAGAACAAGAACTCTGCCAAAGCTCAAAAACTTTTTTTTTTTTTTTACAAACAAATATTCCTATTTGTATTGGAGAGTCCCTATTTTTCTGCAGTGTGGCCGACCCCCTTTTTTTGCCTTTCGCCGCTGCCGCTACCGCAGGACCCGCTGGGTCATAACGGTCGACGCGTCTTGATTCCTGCAAATCAGGTCCGCGTCGACGATCGGATCGACCCGCGCCAAATCGGCCGCGGTGGCCGACGGCCAGTTCCAGGCTCCATGCTTGAGCCCTGGAGCGGCTGTAAAATTACGATGCCGATCGTAAATTTACGACTGAGAACTTTTATTCAATACGTAGTACGTAGTGTCAATTTTTTAAACAAAAATTTACTACAGTTTGAAATTACAACTTTACATGTACATGTGTCATTGAAAAATTTCCCGTAAAAATCTACAAATAATTTTCCCAGTGTCTTCCCCCAACCACGGTTCCTTCTAAATTCTACTTCTGAGCCAATGAACGTTTGAAGAATGTGCAGAGACCAACGCCTGGAGTTGAGGCGAACGGCGAGGCCAGTGACCCGAAGCGGGCGGGCCAGGACGAGGAGGGGGAAAGGGGGCTGAAAACTCCCATCAACATCCCTCGCTGATGACCCGCGGGGGGTCGGGTCCCGGTCGGGTCGGGAGCGGTGGGGCGCCTGGCCGATAGGCAGCCCACACGCCAGCGCCGTCCTGCCGCTGCCGAGCGTAGCACCATCAGGAGGCTAACGTAGGAGCGGGGGTGGTGCGTGGCCTGCGTGGCGCTGGCAATGAACCCGACCGCGCTGCCGGCTGCGGTGCGACGCCGCCGCCGATGAGACGATCCGATTGTTATTCGACACGACAAGAAGGAAATCGTCGGGCGGCGGCGCAGCGTTGTGCGCTCAGCAGCAGCCTTTAACCGCACACTCTTTTTTTTATTCGCCATCCTGCTCCTTTTTCTCGCTCCGTTCTTTCCTTCCCTTCCTCCTTTTCTGCCCGGAGTCGTCCGTCCGTCCGCCCGAGCGGGCGAAGCGGGCGGCGGTCGGAAGGAAACAATACAATAAAAGGAGATCCTTTGGGCCGAGGCGCAGCAGCAGGGCACTGAGCGGGGCAGGAGGCAGCGGGGCCGGGCGGGCGATGTCCGGGGCAGGCTCGGGCTCGGGCTCAGCGGCAGCCCGGCGGCGTGGTGGACTCGCCCGGCCGGCCCGGCCTCCTGTTGCACGTCCTTGATTGACCTTGACTCGCAATTCGCGTGAAGAGAGAGAGAAGAGCGGCGGCAGCAGGAGAGCGGGGCTGCACGGTGCGGCGACGGATGGGAGACGGATGGCTGGGCGAGGAGAGCTGGGCCGGGAGAGAGGGCGGGGGCAGGGCGGGGGCAGGAGAAAGAAAGGACCAGGGTGGGGGGAGATGAATGAAGAGGAGCTGTCGGTACTGACGTGCGCTGAGTGCAGTGCATGTGTGTGTGTGTGTGTGTGTGTGTGTGTGTGTGTGTGTGTGTGCGTGTGTGTGTGTGTGTGTGTGAGCGAGAGCGAGAGCGAGGCGAGGGAGAGAGAGAGAGAGAGAGAGAGAGGAGCAGGAGGGAGAGGTCGAGCTGTAACCGGCTGAACCGATCGCCAAAATGTGGTGTAACGAGACGCTGAATCGAGATCGAGAATCTGATGCAGAAAGTCCTGCGACAGTGCGACCTGAGAGCAAATATTGAAGGGCGTCGCGTCGTCGACGCTTTTCGTGTCAAAATGACAATAAGCGGAAAGTTAACCGTCAGGAAAACGCGACCTGTGGCAGGACGCACCCTAAAGTGGCAGGGCAAGAGTCACAATACTAGAGATGAGAAGAAGTTTAGAACAAGAGACTAGGGCTTATGGATAGGCAAGGGGGGGCGCCCGATCCGCTGCCGCGTCAGATGTTTGTCGCGCTATACCTCAGCAACCGCTGCGATTTTCGGGTCGTTTCAAAGTGCATTGGGCTCAGGAAGCTTGGGTGCATCACTCAATTTCAAAACAGGTGCCACTTGCCCCTCCCCGAGAGCCAGAGCCGAGCGAAGGCTGCCAAGCGCCATTCCCCGTACGGAGCCGCCCTCCGACCAGGCGCCGCCCTAGAACCGTTCCGAAACGTTCTTTTCTAATTTCGCGTATTTCGCCGTTTCATTCGTCGGGAAGGGCCAAAATGATCTTAGAATAACAAAAGACGAATTTTCATGACGTTTAAATACCATATTCTGCCCAGATAGACGACATTATAGAAGTCAGGTGCAGGGAGCAGTATAGGTTATGGTACTCGTATAGGTTATGGTACTCGTAGAGCCAATATCCAGCCAATCATTCAAAGATAAACGGACTTACCTGTTTGAGCCATTTTTCGCCGAGGTGATGTAAGCGACCCTTAAAAGCCATGGCAAACGAAACGCGCGTCGCGCA